TCTCTCTCTCTCTCTCTCTCTCTCTCTCTCTCTCTCTCTCTCTCTCTCTCGGGTTTCTCTGTGTTTTTGCTCTCGTTTGCACACCCACAGAAACACAAACAGTCTCTGAGCGACAGAGAGGATTTTGTAGCAGAGTCTTATTCTGGACATGTGAGGTAGGAGAACACAGAGATTCTGTCTGTAACTGCTAACAACTCCTTTCTGTCTGTGGTCAGCTGCTGTTTTCATCCTGCACCAGTCCTATTTACAACCACTGGATCCTGGTGTGTGTGTGTGTGAGTGTGTGTGTGTCTGTGTGTGTGTGTGTGTGAGTGTGTTGCCGTTGCTTTTAATGTTGTCTCTTAAGCTTTTTTGGGAGAGTTGTGTGAAGAATCATTTATTTCTGAGTGATAAATACACAGGATTCATGAAGTGTTTTTCTCATCCAAGTGATGATTCAAAGGGTCACATTCATCCGTTCACACTGATTCATCCGTTCACACACCGATTCATCCGTTCACACACCGATTCATCCGTTCACACACTGATTCATCCGTTCACACACTGATTCATCCGTTCACACACTGATTCAGATTTATTTTATTGCTTTGTTTGATGAGGAAGATTAATTCAAACCACCAGCCCTCTGACTGGCAGCTCTTCCCAAACCTCCTGTCTGCTCATCCTCATTGATCTCCTGTGTGTCAAATGAACAAACTCTGAAAGAACTGTCCTGAACTTTTCCTCAGCAGCTGCAGCAGAACTTCGTTTTGTCCCAGCATGATCTGATTTGGCCTATTCCTGTTTCATCCCTGCAGATGAGAAGGAGGACACGGTTTTAGGAAGTCTGCCCCTGCTTGGCTTCAGGATCGAAGGAGTGGAGCCTTCGGACAACATCACCCGCAGATTTGCCTTTAAGGTCAGTGACATTTCCATGGAACAGAAACAAATGTTTATTTTGGTCTTTATGGTGCTCCAGCAGGCGTGTTTATAAAAATAGCTTCCTAAGAACCATCAGGTTTTGGATCTGACTGGATGAGCTCAAAGCAGTTCCTGTTCCTGTCTGAAGCGTGGAACAGAGTTTTAGTCTCGGGGGGCTAAAAAACAGCCCTTAACCAGGTCACACAAGCTTTGGGATCTGTAGCTAACAGATCCACTTCAGTTCTTCATCATGTAAACATTAATGAGGGTCCCTTCACATCGTTCCTGACCTAAAAAGGAACTTTCACTTCATCACCAGTGAGGCAAAACAGAACTAGGATCAGTTCTTCACTGTGTGAAAACAGGTTTCTCAGAGAAGGAAGATTCAAGAGGTTTCGTTTGGTTTTAAAGAACATCCTGAGTTCAGTTTTATCAGCAGCCAGCTTCAGGTCTCAGTGTTCTGTRATAATAAGACATGTTGGTTATTAAAATGATCAAACTGACACATTTGTTTGTAAACAAAGACGKACATCATCTGATTTGTAAAAACAGCTGCTCAGTGATTCCTGCAGGCAACTCATCRAAAAATAGTTTTTTAAAGTGAAACTTTTAACTAAACCTGACGATTTTAAAATACTGAGGATTTATTTAAAGGGGCTATATGACGTAAAATTAACTTTATTGAGTTTTATATCATGTTTTAATGTTATCCTCATCAAAAACATGCCCAGAGTCCTGCTTTGACTCATTCATGCATGTTTAAGAAATCCTAGTGTCCTGAGGCAGCAGGCAGGGGAGCAGAAACCACCGGTGGGGTCTAGAAG